TGTGCTACTGAAATAATTGCTTGAAAACATCCTAGGTCTGTAAGTGGCAACAGACCTTAAGAATAGCCTAATCTTGCTATTAATGTTCCTTGAGTGAGTTATGGAGATATCTACCTTTATCAAAGACAACAAGACACACACCCTGCTTCCCAAAATTGTTTATGAGCCTGAGCAGACCAAAAAAACCCTTTTTTTTTTGGTCATTTAATGGTGTATCCTAATACAATGGTCCATATAAYTTGCCAAACACACAGGCATTTTCTATGGAGTTTTGCTCTTTTGAGTGTTTTAACATTTCCAGAACACATTCATAAAGAACATTGAAAAGCATGAGGCTTAAAGATTTTAAATTATYTTAGTAGAATTGCATCAATTACAGCACATTTTGAAATAGCAACTATTTTTTTTATCCTGAGCACACCTTCAGAGAAAAAAAACTCAAAAATCTCTCTTCAAATCACATGAATGTTGACTTTATTTCTTACTTGGCTGGACACACTATATGCAAAAATAAATCTCTAATGCTATGAGACATGACCTTATTTTTTCATAGAACATGCCCTCTTCYAGAGCAAGAGATTCAGGTTGCAAAAGGCAGAAACAAATCCTGAGCTGAGTTTTAAGCAGAACTCTCAGGGGATTTCTCAGTGTAAGAGCCCAATGCTGCCAGAGGCATGAATGGACATGCCCTAAGGTATCCCTGGGTATCCTCCCAAGAAGGCAAAGCAGCAAAATGAGTTGTAGTTCTGATATACTGTGCTTACAGCATGTTAAAACATTCTTCTGCAGAGCATAAATTGAGGATTATGGTTTTAAACAACCACTCCAGGGCTAGACTGAATACTTAAAYGCATCTGACAAAAAGAAGAAAAGGAACTAGGGCTCTGCACTTCTGAATTTGGACATTTGGTGCAMAAKGGATCCTGAAACTCCTCTTAAGCTYATAAAACCTGTTGTTTTCACAAGTAACCTATTATAACGACCACTTTAACATTTTTTTAAAAAACTGGCTCACAAATTTTAAAGAGCAAGGGTCATTTAGAAGAGAGCTCCAATTTGATTATTTTTGAGCTAAACACCTATTGCAGACAGAATAAAATTCTTGCTGTGGCACAGTGAAACCTCACACAAAAAACATTCAGCAGAAATTACCTGGATGCAAACACAATCTTTCATTAAATGGGCTTGTAGAAAAGTGGCCAGAATATAGTTCCTCAATAATCTTCTTTTAAATTTTAAAACACTAAAGCTGCTGTTGGTGCAGCTTTATGAGGATGTAAATTTTGTAATCTTTTTCTGGTGGTACTAGAAAAAGATAAACTGTCCATAAAAKTGGAAGTGCTACTCTACTGGTAACTAGAGAAAAGTTACAGAGCAATCAGAACTTGACTCTGAAAAAACACAGATTATACCTATTCCTACTCTACATAAACAGAGGAAAAWGCAAGGATTTTAGAACAACGAATTACTTCATCTACAACTAGATGAATTTCTATACATGTTAAATGAAATAATTTTGAAAAAATTGCAATCAAACACCTGGAACAAGACACTGCTCAGCATTTCCTAAATAATTATTCAGCTCTGAAAAGAATTAATTTTAGAAGATACTTATTTTAACAACAACAAAAGAAAAATCTGAGACAAGGGAGYTCTTTGTATGTGTCTGACATCAAGAATTCAATATATTTACATGGCATTCAAGACTGATGCTAAAATGAGCTTTGTCTGTGGCACAGTAGCTGAAAGATCCACAGGTTCTGTASTCAGAGGCTCTGTAAAGCACTATAGTGACACCGGGTTAAAGACAGGAGGATCAAATCCCCCTGGACTGGATAAGTATAAAAACAAAGGGCAGTTTTTGAGATATGCTGTTGAATGTTTTCATCTGAACAATGAGAAGGGCAATTAGATGGTAACTTACATTTGTTTAGGCATTAAAGAATACAGGAGCTTGGCTAATTCTCCCCTGATAGCAAGAGGCAGCGTTATCTCCTGCTTCTCTACCCCTTCTGCAGGAAGAATGTGAAAGCTCTGCCTCCTCTGCTGCTGAATGAAGGCCTCAGTGGATAAAAGGTAAGGCTCAATACCAGGAAGGGGAAAGAAAACAAAATCCTTGTTTCCACCTCTATAAAAGTGGGGGGTTTTCATCTGGGAATGAAGAACCAGAAATATTTAATTATCTTTCAGGATGCTGTATGTTACACTAGGTGGGCAAATATATTTTGAGGTAAAATTGTCAGGTACAGATACTGGTTCTAAGAGCTATTGCTGTCCTGACCATGCATAAATAGCAATAATGTTGGTAGTGTTAGTACAGCTACAGCTTCAAAACATCACYTTCTGGTTTAGTGAGTGAAATGCAAGCATGGAAAAATGAACACTTTCTGATTTTCAGATTGATTTTTCCCCTTTTTATGTGACATCCCGCCATCAAAAGATTAAGTACTATCAAATCTTTGTAGCAAGTCCTGTTTCAGCCACTGTAGTTATGAGATTTTTACATGTTTCAGCTACTACTACTAAGYACCAGCYTACYCTTAAGTTTATCTCCTTTYTATTTTAGAAAGGYWCTCAGAGAAAAATATTTTCATCAAYGAAKTAATAATCCTGKAAGMCACTAATTCCAAYCACACATGCCATGATCCTGCATCACCAACACTTTCACAAAGCCATCATGAAATCTCCTTTTTACACTTCCTGAAAATAATCTACAAAATAGCCAACATCATGTACCTTCACCCTCAAATCCTTTGGCCRTGTAAATCAACAAAACAGAACTAAAGTAAAGTTAATACAGACCTCCACTTGAAATGACTGTATTCCCAACTAATGTTAGCTTTAATATAAAAATTCAAAACCCTTCCCTAGACTGCAACAATTGTGAAACTGGAAATTAAAAGCTAAGAGCAAGAAATCTGCAGTGAGCTTGTTGCAGACATTACAAATAGGAAGTAGTCAGGAGAAGGAAAACCTTCATTGCCAAATGGAAAAGAAGAAGARGCCATAATTTTAATAAAAATTTTCACTTATCCTTTCCCCTCCACTTTCACTCTCACATATATATACAGAATGTATTTGGAAGCAACAGGAGTGGAGCTACAAAAATCACCCATCAAACAATTGTGCTACTTTTAGTAATATATTGAAGGTCCTAAAACAAAGATCAARAGGGAATATATTTAAGCATTTATATTCAATTCCACACTGCCTGATGACTAATTTGTAAAGAGTGCAGGAGTCCTCACAACTGCAGCCAAAATCATTTGAGAATACTTTGATATAATGCCACAAAGGATATGAGCAGGAAGACAGCAGAAGTTACAAATGGCCAAGTTCCATTAAAAATGCTAATAAAAGAATAATGGAATTTCCTTGTACTATGAAGAAAAAGTGTTTCATACAGGAGAATTAAGACATGGAGAGGAATATCAAAGTTTCCAGTTCATCAGTTCCATCTCCTTATTAGATCTTAATTGACTTAGTGTCACAGTTACCTTAAAATGCTTAAATTAAAAAAAAAMAACAATACCATTCAAAATCTTATCACAGCAGTTCCCTTCATTATTCTTGTTTCTCCATGAAGGTAATTTTTACAAGCTGTCAATATCAGCTTTACCAATCAGCTTGTAAATACTGTGAGACTATTTATAAAAAAAAGTACTAAGACAGTAATTTAACTTGAAATGGGATATAATTATTAAAATTATAGAATATAACTGCTGATTTACAATGGCTTTTTAAACTAAATTTTCAACTTGCTGGTAACTACAGAACTCTCACAGCAACAACCTGCCAGATAAATTTAATTCATTAATTTACACACTGCATTTCTTTCTCATAGGTAGTTACACATATATTGCATATATGTGCATGTGTTCATACAAAGAGATAGAGGCACGTACATACTTCTGACACCTTCTTCCCCCAAATATAAAACCCAGCTGKTTTTCCCAATGTATTTGGTACAGGACCAGGAAAAGAAGAGATAGAGTTAAGAACTTTCTTTTGAAATGTCTAAACAACAGGAGAAATGTTTCAAATCTTTCTTTGTTTTAATGGATACTTGCAAAATCACTCACAATTCTCAAAATAGAAGCAGCAAAGATGGACATCGCATTCTGCTGAAAAAATTTTAAAGGGTTTTGTGCATTTGTCCAAAGAATATGCCCACAGTGGAATCCAAGATAGGAGGAACTCAATGAAAATATTTAAAAATCTACTTAAATCCCCTTCAATCTGCTGCTTAATGCTTTCTTTGCCATAATGTCTGAAAGAATCCCACAACATATTTATAGCATAGAAAGACTGAGTTTCCTGCCTCTTGGTTCTCCAAAATCTTCTTGTAACAATTTTATTTTTTTTTAGTTTCATATTGCAATATCCTTTGAGAAAAGGACCTTCTTTTTTTCTCCCTCCAGGATGAAATATAACAAACAAATTGGGTTGTTTRTTGCCTTTTTTTCTTAACAGGGTTCTCAGATGTTACAAATAAGGACTAAGTTTATAATGAAGATGCGTGTTTCTACTTTTTCCTCCAGACAACCACCAGGCTGTTCACACAGCAGCCTCTTTGAATGATGCTTCCATGATCAATAGATAATTCATTAGTATCATGTATCTCAGGGCCTAATTGACACAACAAGCTAAGCAACATACTCCAGGGTAACACAGTTCCTAAACAGAGAGTGAAAAAAGAGGGGAATCCAATACCACATATGGCCCTTTTGCAGGATTTATTGTCAGTCTATAAATGATACTTCTATGAGGTTAATGTGAGTCACTGGATTCACAAATCAGAAAACGTACCTTTTTTCAAGCTTGGCTTAAAGAAACAGAGAAACATTTAAGTGACAACAGCATTTAAGTAACATGAGTACCTCAGCGCTTTCAATTTTATAATTTCTTCTCAATTTGGAATTAAAGAAGAAATACAGTTACCACAAATGTTTGGAATTCTTAAGAACAAACATAGATAGAGATAGTATTTTTTTTCTTACCTTATGATCATATGGATTGTATGAATGAAACAGCTGGGACAGATCCTTCGTTCTCTGTTTTTTCTATAAAGGAATATTAATAAACAAGCCATATTAGAAAAGTTATGGGAGAAAGAGAGAGACTACTGATTAAAAAAGCTGTATGCAGGTACAAACACATTCTCTCCCCGTTCTGTTAATGAAACTACAGGTATGAAGAGCAGCGTATGCAGATTAGGATATTAAATATTACAGGAAATAATTAACATATATATTAACAATATTAAAGAAAATATCCTTAATAAATAATAAACACTAATCTGTGGAAGATCAGTGRAATGTGTAAACAATTCAGATTAGGTTTAATTTTTGCACAATATATCATAAACAATATTTTAGAATACAGATAACAAAACTTAGAGATCAGGCTACARTCTTGCAAAGACTTGTCTACTATTCTAGCATGTATATGCAGTCTTGCCTTATAGGAGATTAGGTGTAAAGGAAGTAAGTTTAAAGAAGAATAATTTATTATTTTTTCATTTCTTTTGATGCTAATACTCTCATTGCCTTGATTGTGGAAATTTAATAGGTGATATGCCATTTAATGCCAAGGCAAAGAAAAATCTTCTGTTAAGAACACAGCTGAAAGACAAAACCTGCTTAATCCAGCTCCTACTGAATTTAGTCAAAGASCTTTCAGTGATTTCAGCTGATGTTGAATCGCCTTTCTCAGTTGTATCCTATGGAGGATGGGCAGGGAGAGGAGAACACCCTTTATCTTTATGAAGGGATGAGTCACAAATCAGTTCCGTTTTATTGTGTCAAAATCGATGCCTACTTATCTCATAGGGAAGGCAAAGCACTGCATGCTGGAAAATGTGTAAAGGGAAGTCAACTGYAAGATCTCCTTGCTTGTAGTCTGTACAAGTGTCTCATTTAGCCATCTTTGCTGTGAAAGTAGTTTTCCAGCTAACTGTCTATGTTTCCAGCAAGCTGGGAACTAAACAGACAGCAGCATCRCTGCAGTATTTGTTTTAACTTCTGGAAACTATAGGGCAATTTAGYAATTTTTGATCATGCAAAATGAACTATGCATTTTCTCTTCACATGGCTTTTATTTTCACTGAAACATTAAGCAACTTAGGCATGAAATGATTACTAAAAAGATTGCTTAAAAACCCCTAATTTAATGTAGTATCATGCAAGAAGACAAAAGCATTTGAGTTTGGATTTTGGAAACTTTGGATCTAGGAAGAAAACCTTACAAAATCCAGAAAGAATCCAACTCTCACTTTTTGTTACTGAAGACTTTTTCTCTTGTATTCATTTTGACTGCAATTACTTTAATAACACACAATAAAATGCTATGACAGAAAACCACCCATCTTTCACCCTCAGACTCTCACCAAAATGCTGGTTACATGCTCAGCTAGACTGGATGAAGAATGAAGATGGCTTTCCTTACACAACACACTGACACAGTCTTCAACTTTTTATTATTACGGAAAATTATGGTTTCTTTCCTACCTACCAACAAAAGTTGGTTGGGGTTTTTTTCGTATAAAAACCAAAACTCTCCTGACTGGGGAAATGTTGGAAACTCCCAATACAGAAAAATGTTAAATGAAACTTCTCAACATGCACATGAAGAAATGCACCAAAATTCCCAGGATGCCCCCTATGGGTAGTTGAGCTAAATCTAAACAGAGTAGGGAATGTGAATAGACAGAGACAGAAATGTCATAAGCACTGAGTTAAAGTTGCTTAGTGATAATTTCTGTCTTTCTAAKATGACGAGTGCAGTTTAACTCAGACCTCTAAAAACCAGAAATATGTACAATTTTGAAACATGGGGACTCGGGACAGGACAAGGAATTCATGTTTCTCCAATGGTAATCCCTTCAACTCCTACAGCTGCCATGAGTCCCACGAGAGGAATAAGATTTGAAATAAAGAAGCAGCATGGTTCCCAKATCACCTCTGTGTAGTATAGAGCAGAGGGTAAAGCAGAGACCTTTCCATGTCTAGAGGTGACATTGGAAAATGAAGAGTCCAAAAGCTGCTTCTCCTTTATCACCTCCAGTGGACTATTTCAGACTATTTACACACATCTCCCCAGAATTTCTTCCCTTGACATAGCTTCATACCCCTATTTATGTTCCCTCAGCTTAGTCCAACATCCCCTTCAAGTATCGGTTGACCAATATAAAACCTTTTCTTCCCCTGCTCTTTCTCTTCAGTGCTCTGATTCCACAGTCCTTTGTTCTGTACCAATAATGCTGCTAAAATCACATCATAAAAAGCCACTCAAACACCCTCTCTGGACTATCTCATCACATTGTTCCACGGGCAGCAGCATTATTGCTGTCAAACATCCTCACAGATCTGCATAGGATATAKTTTAATTCTTTGTGAAAAAATTCAATTCTCTTTCTAAAGTCACCATATAAATTAGCATGAGAAGACCTTCCAGGAGTCTGATAGCAACATCAGACTCAGAGCTTATTCCTGTACTTCTMCCARGTTTGCCATAGAGGGATGGAGTATSCTYAGTTTGCAGMACTTAAAGAAACAAGTTTAGGGAGATGAGATAGATAAAGAGATAAATCCAGATCCYATGCTGATGCCAGCCACTAAAAATATATGAATATGACTGTAAAAACACATTTCCAGTTTTCTGCTTCAATAAGTTTAAAAAATACCACATTATATGGGAGATAAAAAGGAGACACTTTTTTTTTATTCTTAGCAGGAAAAATATGTGAACATCTGATGAAGAATGAATTTAAAYGCTGCTGCAGGACTGAGTTGAATACTGTAAAACCATAAATATGCTCATACATGTAAGTATTCCAGGATAGAAGGGTTTCCCTAAATAAAGCAATACTTAGTTCTGAGTTATTTCAAGGTTGTTACTGAAATATGCRTAAGTAATTAATTGCTTCTCAAAAGACAGGTTGTGTCCAAGGTATTTATAAAAACAAGAACCAGAAACCAACATCAACTAATGACATTTCTTAGGACAGCACACACAGACAATGTTGATAGAGAGAAAACAACACATTACCACAATTTCACTATTTCCACTCCCTGCAAACAGATATGCAAGTAACAGACTTCGCTCTATTTGCTTCCTTTCTCTCATTTTGCTGGGYCTCAGATTTTTGATTACTGAGATTTATTAAAGGGATACTAATCATCCAATATGCATATTATGTGTTTAAGTGATAGTAACAATAAAGGTTCCTTTTGCAACAATCTGGAACTACACATCAACAAAGCTGAGTTAGTGACCTTGATGTTTTTACTTTTTCTTGTGCACTGAYTTTTAGCAATAATGAAACTTTTTCTAATGATTTAAGTGGACTATACTGTGGATTATTATTTTACTTTTAACCAGGAAATATCACTTAGAGAACAATAGAATGTAAAAAAATCAATCAGCCAGCCAAAACAATCCAACAAACCCCGTAGTACAGAATGAATCTAAAACTGTCTAAAATATTTTCTGCACAAGCAAACCAGCACAGAATTTTCTGTTGACYATCTTAGAAAACTATTTTTTCCCTACAAATAACAGTGCAAAAATAGGGTAAAAAATTAGCGGTATTCTAATAATATTTTTTTTATAAATAGACTATACTTTAGAAAAAGAATTTTACAAATGAAATAGCTATAACAAATGCTAAACACTGTTGGCTCACACATGTATATTGCACTTACCTTGTGATCCTCTTTTCATATTCAGGTGATAATTACCTGTCTTTCAGATGATTTTAATGTAGCCCACAGATAGTTTGTTATCTTTTCAAGCATGGTATCATAGGTCTACAATGTTTATTGTGAAGGAGAACTACAATATCGCTGAGGTATTTATATTACAGATTACTTAGAAGCTACTTGAATGGAATATTCTCAGATTTTCATCTAGGAATAAAAGGGACAAAATTACTTCCAGTAAAAGCTATTACTGATTTCTTTTAGACTCAGCTTTCAGCTTTATAAAGTCAATTTTCACCTTCAAAGTTCTTAACAATCCCAGCCTAATACTGTCAGAGTTCTGCAGATTCCAGCAGTTCCACTGAAGGTCTCRCCTTTGTTTTCTTGCTCCCATGATTTAAAACCGTTCCAATATACAGGGCTGCCTTCACTAACAATAACATGGATCTGTTTCTGTTCAAATATTCTTCCTTCATGAGCACAGTGAATAATAACATGTGTCAAGGCAATCAGATTAATATCTTTATTTCAGTTCTCTTCTCTCATCTACCAATCATCTTGCCCATTTCTCTTTTACATACTGCTGATCAGAATTAAAAAAAAAAAAAACAAACCAAAACCAAAACATTTTGCCACAGGAACCTTATTTAATTTAGAGTTTATAAAGCATCCTACCCCCATCCTTGAGCATTATAACAACCTTGTTTTTCTTTCAAACAAGGCTGGAAAACCACATTACCTCCCTCAGTAGTATCTAATGGATTACATATATTAAACTTAGYGAGTCAAGGAAAAATGTAACTACAACTTTGACACACCTGGGGAGAAGAATGAAGCAGCTATTTTCACAGTTTTCTTCCCCAGTATAACTGAAARCTCAGAGGCTCCAAAATAACAGATGCTTGCAAAACCATGAAGACTGGAGCTTTCTTTCCTGAAACAGCACTAACACATTTTGTGTTATGGCAATCTCTGACTTCAGTTACATCCATTTTCTGACCAGCAATAAAACTGTGTTTTTCTTTTCCCTTACCTTACACCTGTGATGTCAAAACCACAAAGGCCTTGAGTAGCTCCAAACTCTGAACTCCTATAAAGCAGAATGGAGCAGGGAGCACCAGACCKAAAGACACCCACTGGACTAACTTGAATCTCCACAGAATTACTTGGCAAAACACCAGCGAGGGAGATATACAGCAACTACTCCAACACCAAGGTACATTTAAAAGCCTTGCTTGGAGATTCAATCCATAAAGTCTTAAATCTATGTACCTATAACCACAACAGAGGTATGAGCCAAGCCACTGGAACCACCAYGTTATCAAAGTTTGCAGATTGCTTTCTGGTCTGCAAAACAGCTT